GATTCCTAATTATATTGTAATTATCATACTAACAGTTTATCCAGCAATCGTATCTGGATATTTACTAAATACCAACTCACTTACTACCAAAATAGTCTTTGCAATTTCTAGTATATCTTTAAGTAGATTAATTGAACATTTTGGTGATAATGAACCTAAAAAAATCAATACGGCAATATCTTTTTATTTAAATTGGAATGTAAAGATGAATGAAAAGATGAAAAAAGAAAAAAATCAAGATTTAGAAAATCAAGAGGATATAATTGTAAATTATAAAAAAGATGAACAGGATCCAAAAGAAATGTTAATAAATCAAATAAATAGACTAAAATCAATCCAGAAACAGGAGAGCAAATTATTTGAAGAAATGATCGAAGAACTACAAAATCTACAAGGATAGAACACATGTGAAGAATCGCTGAAAAAATTATTTCTTTTCATATATAAATGTTTTATTATTAAATTATTATTTAAATAACTAGAAATTGCACATGTTGGCAGCTTCGCCGCTCATTGTAGTTGTAGGAACTTGTATCTGATAGGATATATATTGATGTTCATGATCGAAAATTTATTTGAAAATTAGTTTTGATAAATAAATTAAATAATAATTTAGCATCATTGTTAAAATTTATTTTCTATAGTATGCGATATGTAGCAAATAAAAATTATATGTGACTCTTCATTATTAAACTATTTTATTATTATAATTCTTTGTTTTTAGCTTATAAAGAAACCCTTCAGAGAAGTGGCAACACGAATTGATCTAATAACGAATAGTACTCTAGTACCTTATTATGATAATATACACAAGCAATAGGTAATTAAAAGTAATGAATTATTATAATCTGTGCTATTGGTTAGAAATAACCCTTATTAAAACTTAAGGTTAGGGTGCTCAAAAATAATATTTTTCAAGGATTACAAAAATGGTGCAACGATTTTATGGCAAATCACCCAAGTCAAGTTTTTGATTCTAACGATTTCACTTCACTTCCTGAAAACACATTTCTATCACTTATCAAATAAGATGATTTACAAATGGAAGAAATAAAGTTTGGAATTCCATTATTAAGTAGGGAATCGCTCAAAAGCCTGACTTACTATCCGATTTTCAAGATTGGTCCTACCTTTTATTAGATATTTTCAAATTTCTGGTGATGATATTTATAACCAAGTATAGGTAATATCATCACTTCTGATACATCATATTTTATAAAATAAATTAAAAAGCTTATTAATAATATTAAATCTAATAAATGTTATTTTAAACTATATTTTTAAGATTACAGTATCCTAAATTCTATTGAGTTAAACTTCGGAATTTTTCGAAGATTTTTCTTGTATTTTATGTTCATTGATTTTCTTTTCGCCAATTTTCGGATCATATTATAAACTGCCCTAATTTTTATTATAATCAATATAAAGAACAGGGGTGAATGTTCCAATTATGGAAATGACGATCCAATTGTTATACAATTATAAAAGAAAATTTTTTATACGTTTTACAATACTTTTTTCGAAAGCTCAGGTAGATTATCTTATCTATTAAACACAGTAAAGTTTTAGATAAACTTGAAGCTCTCACCTTGCGTTACAACATATTCGCTTAATCCCTCT